TGCACCCACTGGTACAGCACAGCATTCTGCAGCCAACCAGCCTCCACAAACCCCTGGGCTGGCATGGGGTCACATCTAATCCTAAGAACAGTTGTCCTAGCCAATTACAGCAACAGGGTGAGGAAATGTCAATGGTGAACAATTTGAAAACACCCATGCCAAGGGGTGGCAAGAGAGTGGGAGAAGAGGATCACCTGCCAGCCACATTCTTCCATTCAGTATTCTTCCCATTCTTCAGCCTCTGCTTCCAGAGAATTCATGCCCACCTCTTTATAATTGTTCTCCAGAGCTGCCAGTTCCTCCCAGGACTCAGGAAACTCCCCTTCATCCATGCCTTCGCCCATGTACCAGTGCACAAAGGCATGCTTAGCATACATGAGATCAAACTTGTGGTCCAGCTGGGCCTGGGCCTCAGTGATGGTGGTGGTGTTGCTCAGCAGGCACATAGCCCACTGCACCTTGGCCAGGTCTCCCCCAGGGACAGTGGTGGGGGGCTGGTAGTTGTGCCCACCTGCCAGAAGAAGGGAAGAAAGTGCCTTGTGAAACTTGTGTCACACCCAGAAATGGTGGCTGCTTTCACAGAAAAGAAGCACATGGTGTCCTGTACAACCAGGGAGAAGGCTTGATTCACTGCAAACAGTCCCTTTCTTTGTTCCAGGCAAAGTTCCAAGAGAACAGGGGGCTGGTTTTCAGACAAAAGAAAGAGAAAGAGGAGCCCTAGAGCCAGTCACCAGGCATTGTCCCAGCTTGCCTGAAGGCTGGTGTCCCAGCAACTGTGACATGTGCTAAGTGCTCAGGTGATGCTCAGAGTATAATACTTAAAGTACCAGGAGGAAAGCTCCCACCCTTTGCATCCCCACTGTAATGCAACCAACCCATACCGGGTAGGTTCATTAACGGTTCTAGCAGCCCTGCTGTCTTCATGCTCTCTGCCTTTTGTAGTCACTGTACTCCATCGCGCTCTGTCACTCTCCACTGCACTCCTCCATCCTCGACACCGCACCACCACACTGCACTCTGCTGCGCCACCCTTATAAACCCAGTCTTTCAGGCCAGGTGTACCCACCTACACATGCCCACACTCTATTCCAGGTGTCCTCCATCAGGCACGCATTCAGGGCTGCAAGGATCCACCATTAAGCCCAATGGTGGGAGGGCAGAAAAGCCTGATACTTTACCTACCCTACACCCACCAATCAGTGTGCGGAAAGCACAGAAGGCTGAGGATCTCTGCTACCACTACTAAGGAGGTAGCACATGTGTGCTAAATGGAAGGTGTATGATGTTCCAGGGCTGGCAACAAAGGAGAGGCATCCAAGCTTCAGAATCAAGAAATGACAGGCTTTGGCAACAGAATGCAGGGTCAGCCAGGGTCAGAAAACTTCGTATGTGAAAACAGCACATGTTCAAGACTTGTTATTTTTTATTTACTTTTTTAAGATTTATTTATTTATTTATGCAAGCACCAGGTACAGTGAGAAGCGCGGGAGAGTGAGAGAATTCACCAGAGCCAGAGCGGGGAACAGAACAGGCAGAATGATGAAGTACACTGCTGAGGGGAGCAGCGGGCAGCAGGAGAGGTCTGCGCGCCACGTGGGACCCTCACTGGCAGCCGGGGATCGAACCGGAACTTCAGAGGCTGTGGGCAGCTTCGCAGCCCAGCACTCAACCACTGTGCCACCAGGGGAGGCCCTGTTCAAGACTTTTTAGAGCAGACAGCTGTCACAACTGAGATGTTCTGAGTAATTGAGTGACGCTAGCTTTGTAGCCCAAAAGCGTCACAATATGTTGTAGGGTAAGGAAAAAAGTATCAGGCTTTTCTGCCCTCCCGCCATTGGGATGTATGACAGAACCCTGTGGTCCCGAATGCATGCCTGATGGTGGGCACCTGGAGTAGGATGTAGGCATATGTAGATGGGATTCATCTGGGCTAAGACTGGGCTTTTTAAGGGCTGCGTCATGGGGACGCCAGCAGAAGCCAAGAGAAGAAGAGAAGCAGAGAGAATGCCAGAGAGAGCCCAGATAGAGTGAAGACTTGCTGGAGGCTGGGAGAACTGCCAGCCTCCCGGCCCCCCAGCACCCCTGCCTGCCATATGCCTGATAAATCTAAATAAAAGTCCTGCAAAAGCCACTGAGGACTCTGACTCCTCCTTTACCCAGTCTGCTGGATCAGAAAACCTGCCCTGTGTCATTCCTGCCACTACATATGCCAATAACAGGTGTGGCCTATATTCATCTAAAACTTAATTTACAAAATGAGGTGGTGGGCTTGTTAATCATATTGACGTTTTAACTAGAATAGAATCCAAAATAAGAAATCCCAGATAAGAACCCACTTCAGCAGTCTCACCAGAAGCTGTGAGGATCTGAGTCAGCAGAGGAGACTTGCAAAACAAGGTTCAGTGAACCAGAGGTTCCCATATGGAAGGAACTGATAGTGTTACTCATAAAGTACAAGACAAAGCTGCACAGCAACAGCAAGGTTTCTAGCCTGTATAAAGTGGAAGGGTGATTGTAGGGAGCAGGAATGGACACGGTGCATGTTTTCTGATCCAGCAGACTGGGTAAAGGAGGAGTCAGAGTCCTTAGTGGGTTTTTGCAGGTCTTTTATTGGGGTTCACCAGGCATATGGCAGGCAGGGGTGCTGGGGGGCCGGGAGGCTGGCAGTCCTCCCAGCCCCCAGCAAATCCTCACTCTATCTGGGCTCTCTGGCGTTCTCTACTTCTGCTTCTTCTTCTCTGCTTCTCTCTGGGCTTCTGCTGCTGCTGGCATCCCCGTGACGCCGCCCTTAAAAGCACAGTCTTATCCCAGGTGAATCCCATCTACCTATGCCCACACCCTATTCCAGGTGCCCACCATCAGGCATGCATTCAGGACCGCAAGGTTCCGTCATCTATCCTGATGGCGGGAGGGCAGAAAAGCCTGACATTTTTCCTTACCCTGCAGTGATACATATCATATATCTGAGACACACTCTGAAGATGCCATTTCCTTCATGAAAACATTCATGGCAGTTTTTCTTTAAATCAACACACATTTATATTGTATTTAATTTCTACACATCCATGAAATTGGAGTGAGACTAGAGATAGCAGTGTACAGGAATGCCAATATCCACATGAATTACCAAAATGCCCAGAAAACTACACATCTACATGTCTGCCTCACTAATACTGGTATTACATAAGGGGAAGGGATGTGGGAACAAAAATCTTTCACAAAACTATTCTGTTGAAAAAAAAATGCTCTCATCAGATTTACAGTGTAGTGACTCAGAAATGAAGTTCAAAAAGCACCACTGAATAAACTACTGTAAAGGCCAGACTGGGCACAGTGCAGGTTTTCTGATCCCATGCAGACCGGGTAAAGGAGGAGTCAGAGTCCTCAGTAGTTTTGCAGGTTTTTTATTGGGGTTCACCAGGCATATGGCAGGCAGGGGTGCTGGATGGGGGGCTGGGAGGCCAGCAAGTCTTCACTCTATTTGGGCTCTCTGGCGTTCGTTTTGCTGCTTCTCGGCTTTTCTTTTGGCTTCTGCTTCGGCTTCTACTGCTGCTGCTGCTGCTGCTGCTGGCGTCCCCGTGACACCGCCCTTAAAAAGCACAGTCTTAGCTCAGCTGAATCCCATCTACCTATGCCCACACCCTATTCCAGGTGCCCGCCATCAGACATGCATCAGGACAAGGATCCATCATCTATCCTGATGGCGGAAGGGCAGAAAAGCCTGATATTTTCTTTACCCTACAACTACCACTCAGTTTCACTAATTTCTGACAAAGGTCCCAATTCATATGGGACACAGGCATTGTGCACAAAGGGGCAGCTTTCCATTGCAGGGTTTGCTGCTTGCCAACAGGGAAAACCCCCAATGTCACCCAGTGCCAAACCCAGTCAGGCACCAATCCAAAAGCTGATGGTGCGCTTGGTCTTGAGGGTAGTGATGGCCGTGTTGACATCTTTGGGGACCATGTCGTCCTGTACAACATGCAGCAGGCCATCTACTTGCCGTGGCGAGGGTCACAGTTGACCATCTGTTTGGCTGGCTCGAAGCAAGCACTGGTGATCTCAGCCACAGACAGCTGCTCATGGTAGGCCTAAGCGTGAAAGTATCAGGCTTTTCTGCCCTCCTGCCATTAGGATTGATGATGGATCTGCAATCCTGGATGCATGTCTGATGGCAGGCACCTGGAATAGGGTGTGGGCATGCATAAGTGGGTACACCTGGGCTGAGAGACTGACCTTATAAGGGCAGCATCAAGGGGACACCAGCAGAACCACAAGAGAAGCACAGTCTACAAGAGAAGGCCAGAGATCCCAGAAAGAGTGATGACTTGTTGGGGGCCAGGAGGCTGGCAGGCCTCCAGCACCCCTGCCTGCTATGTACCTTAAAAAAGCCTGAAAAGCCACCGAGGGCTCCATGACTCTCTCCTCCTTTACCCCTTCTGCTCCGGTCATAGAAATCCTGCCCTGTGCCCATTCCTGCTGCTATACTGTCTCTGCTGAGATGGCTGGGCCATAGAAGACCAGGGGAAAGTGGATGCAAGGGTACAGGACAAGGTTGGTCTGGAATTCCGTCAAGTCTACATTCAAGGACCTGTTGAAGGGCAGGGAAGCCATAATAGAGGACATAATCTGCCAATCAGATGATTGAGGTTGGTGTAGGTGGGCTGTAGGGTAAGGAAAAATGTCAAGCTTTTCTGCCTTCCCACCATCAGGATAGATGATGGATTCTTGTGGTCCTGAATGCATGCCTGATGGCGGGCACCTGGAGTTGGGTGTGGGCATAGGTAGATGGGATTCACCTGGGCTGAGACTGGGCTTTTAAGGGTGGTGTCACGGGGATGCCAGCAATATCAGCAGAAGCCAAAAGAGAAGCTGAGAGATAAGCAGAGAAGGCCAGAGAGCCCAGATAGAGTGAAGACTTGCTGGGGGCTGGGAGGCCTGCCAGACTACCAGCCCCCCAGCACCCCTGCCTGCTGTATGCCTGGTGAACCCCAATAAAAGACCTGCAAAAACACTGAGGACTCTGACTCCTCCTTTACCCAGTCTGCTGGATATTAGGAAACCTGCCCCGTGTCCTGTCCTGACCTTACATGGGCCGTTAGATGTCCAGGTTGTGCTAATAGATGGCTTCGTTGTCCAAAATGAAGACATAGTCACAACGTTCCAGGGTCGCGTGGGTGGTCAGAATGGAGTTGTAGGGCTCCAACATAGCCGTGGACACATGGGGGGCCGGATAAATGGCAAATTCCAGCTTGAACTTCTTGCTATAGTCCACTGACAGACGCTCCATGAGATGTAAATCTGGAGCCGGTGCTGCCCCTAAATCTGTGAAAGATGAGAAAGCCCTGCAGCCCCGTGCACTGGTCTGCCTGCCTGAGAGCAAAAACGAGACAAGGGTCAACACCTGCAGCAGCCACACCACCACACTCCAACAGGAACACCCCCAAACATTCCTCAGCATGTGTCTATGGACTCAAATCATCCATGGCGAACATGCATCATGCTCAGAGGCAAAGCTGAGCAGTCGCTAAACAACTGTGGACACACTGTGGTCACACTGCAGAGTTAGCCTGTGGACTCACCATTCCAGCCTGGGTTTGGACAGAATGACCTGCCAGTCCCCATCTCAAGCCCGCCCTCCTGTCCAGTACAACATCTGTGGGAAGCCTTCCATGCGTTCTCACCAGTTTGCAGATCTGGTCCAGGACCGGGTCAACAATCTCCCTGCTGATGGTATAATGGCCTCTGGCAAAATTATTGCCTGCATCTTCCTTCCAGGTGATCAGCTGCTCAGGGTGGAAGAGCTGCCTGGTCAATGTGCGCACTTCATCTGCAGAGAGGATACATGTGCTGCATTTTTTGAGGCCCACTGTGAGCCCATCAGGGCAGAGATTCACAAGCAGGTCCCTTCTACTAAGCATGTGTTGTTCAGTCAACTCGGTACAAATACCAACTCCACCGGTTCCCAAAAAGGGAAACAGCTCTCACACCCCCATATCCCTTATACCCAACACAGCCACCAGGTCAGCACCACTTCTGCCAGGCAGTCCCATTTGTAACCCTAAAGCCTGGGAGACAACGGTCACATAGGGTGCCCTTTCTGTCACTTCAGTTGAAAGGACTTGCTTGCTCTCTCTCCTCAGCTCTCCTTGGCCTTCTAATCTACTACTGGCCTTCTAACCTGGAGCAACACAATGAAGGTTCTCCACATAACTTTCTATGTCTCATACACAAGTCAAGACTCTCATGCACCACGGGACATTAGGCAGGTACCAGTGCCCACGTTCCCACAGGCAGAGTCTACATACCCACCTGACCGGGGCTGAGGGAGCCACCAATTGGTCTATCATCAGCCATCCTGCTGCAGACAAAGCAGCCCTTTACTCAACTTGAGGATTTTCTAAATCAGGAGCCAGCATACCACATTCACTGCAAGCAAACCTTTCCATTTCTCGCCTAACATGGCCGAGGGCCTTCGCTTGTATGTCCTAGCCTTTCTGCAGAGGGATTCAAAGGAGCACATGAGGGGCTTTAGCGTGGTTCTCCCACCTTCTCTGGAATGTTGTCTAAGTGTCTGAGTACCTATCAACCACGGTGGGCTCCAGGTCCACAAACACTGCTCTGGGCACATGCTTGCCAGCTCCCGTCTCCCTGAAGAACATGTTGAATGAGTCAGCCCCACCACCGATGGTTTTGTCACTTATCATCTGACCATTGGGCTGAATCCCATGTTCAAGGCAGTACAATTCCCAGCAGGCATTGTTAATCTGGACACCTGCCCTGCCCCACATGGATAGAGATACACTTGCTCTGGGAACCAGAATGTAAACATGAGGCCCACTTGTCTTCAGGGCTGTTAACGCTATATAGCATGCAACCGAGACCTGATATAATAAATTAACATTGGTAAAATATTTTTTATTTTATTTATAAAATATTTTATTTGTTTATGCATGCAAGAACTGAGGTATAGGTCAGAGGTGCAGAGAGTGAGAGGATTCACCAGAGACAGAGTGGGGAGCAGAGTAGTGGATTGACTGAAATACACTGCTGAGGGGAGCAGTGGGAAAGACAGGAGAGGTCTGCTGCGCCATGTGGGTCAGCTCCCTGGCTGGGAAGAGAACTCATGTTGCGGTGGCTGGCGACAGCTTGATGATGCTGAGACCTAATCCCTTGTGCCACGAGGGAAGTCCCCACTTGTAAAATATTAAGGTCGTCTTAGACATTACATCCCAGGAATTTCCAAAGACCATTTATATCTGAACATGTGCCATCTAACATGGTCACAGACACGTTGAACTATGAAAAGAAGCTGTCATATAAACTTATCTTTTAAGCAATTTATAAATGTTAGAAATTAATATCAAGTAAACTGTTAAGTAATTTTGCTTCCACTGAAAGATTGATCTATTCACCCCATCTGAAGTAATGGTCTACAATAGCAAACACAATATATGAAAAAACAAATGAAGAGCAAAAGACAGTGACTTCTCAAAGCAGAAAAACAGTAAATTCTACAACTGCCCCAGAAGACTGAGGGGGAATTTAGTTTCCAGGCTGCAGCACAGGAAAGAGAAACCCAAAGTCTCTGAGTTGGGAAGAGAAAAGTCCATGTCAGATAGACTGAGGCAACAAGCATTTGCTGTTATTTAAAGGGGAAATTGTTATTTGAAAGGGAAATTGCCCACAAACTTCAGAATCTTCATTCGTTGTGAGAAAGTTGTATTTCCTGCTTCAACAAAGGCAACATAAGACAACTGTTAGTCTCTTCAGTTTAGCACTTAGTGATACAGCAAGAGTACACTTGCCCTTTTGTGTTTTCTTTGGCCACTTTTTGCCCTTTGTCCTACATACCCAGCATTCCTCTCACCATCCTACAGTGACTCACTGATGTTACTGTCATTTATGCAAGGTTTTCTCTGCCAGGAATGACAAATGTACCAAAGAAGAGTGACACAGAAAAATGCACCTTGCTGGTCATCAAAGGGTCCTTCTGAGTCCACAGCTGAACACTCTCAGGACACACTCTCAGACACAGCACCTAAAGAGCTGCTATCCATAGCTGTGTGGTGAAGTGTGCCAACCCTGAAGACTGTTCTGAATCCACCTAAGAAAGTATCAAAGCAAGTCTCAAAGAGCCACCAGGATAGCTTGACAGGGTTTTGCACACTTAAAGCAGAGCAGATACATGTGAGGGCTTTTCAGTAATTACCTTTTCCTGCCTGATGTTAGTCCTGGTCTGGGAAGAATTTTGAAGTATCGAATCTGCCAGGGGCAGAGTGTAACCTGCTTCTTGCAAGAATAAATTCCCAGAAGCAAGGGACTGGGAAGCTCTAGGAGGGAAAGAAGAGCTAATTCCTCCTTCCAGGAGATTTAGGAATTGTCAGCGACATCTTAGAAAAAGTACCTGGTTTCCAAGCAGTGAAGATGGGTGCATGGGTGGGGCAGCTAGAGGGGCAGAGGGCTCTGAGAGCTGGAAGGGTCAGTGCAGCAGCTATTAATAGAATTGGTGTGGAAGGTAACACTACAGCTCAGGCAGGGCTGCTGTGACCTCAGCCAAACTAAGGGGCTTGGCTCTGCTCTGCAGGTGGCAAGAAGCTGACTTGCAACACAAGCAGTTTGGACTGTAGCTGAGTAGGAGCACATGGCAATGGGGGCAGGGTGGGGGAGGCCAGAGAATCACCCACCCACACTCCTTAGTGACAAGACACAGAGTTCCAGGCCCCTCAGAAGGTGACTGAGGGCCTCAGTTTCCCCTTTCCCTCCAAGATCCTCCTGACACCTGCTGCAAGGTCAGTGGGAGAGGGTGTTTAGTGAATGGGGAATGAATCTCTTCTTTTGGCTCTTCTAAATCACACTGTGAGTGAATTGCAACTTTCATAGAGCAGGTAGACCCAGAAAGGAGTGAATTATAGAGAGTATAGGAAATGACAGAGGTACTGAGATTGATACCAGGCTGCAAGGGGCACAAAAACTCGCCAAGGACACTGCCCAAATAGTTTACTTGTCGCAGTCTGAGTTCTTCACCCATGTGCACAATTGCAAGAATACACAGATTCAGAGAAAAACAATAATGGGGTTTATTTGACAAACCAGGAAAATCAAAGAGTTCCTGAGGCCACATATGGCTGTTTACCTCACCCAAAGCCGTGTCCAGGGTTTCAAATTCCCAAACACAAATGCTCCCATGATGGCATATTCCCGCCACTGAGGGCTTGGAGCACATGGCAGCCAGACCACAGGCCGGAATCCAACTTATGAAGACAACAGAAGACACAACAAGAGACATTCACGGAGCTGCCAAGATGTCCCAGCACAGCACCTGGCAAGCGACACTCAAAACAGCAGTTGCAGCAGCTGAACAACCCAACAAATGGCCACACGCATGCAGCTCAGCCAGGTGCCCAGCTCCAGGTCTTCGCCTTCCCTGCCAGGCTGTAACAGCAGCAAAGCTGGGAACAGTTTTAGTTGCTCGACTACTTGCAAAGTCTGCGAACATTTCTTCTCTGAGGTTGGCTGCTGGAAGCCTCACTATGTCCTTCAGACGCCCACCACAGCCTTCTGCAAAGCCGGCGTAGTGGGGGCAGAAATGGCTGATCCCAGAATTGATGAAAATCCAAAACTGCTGAAACCCCAAACACTGAATCATCCCCAGAGATGCTAAATCCTGGGGGCTGCTTCTGCCCCTTATATTTCCTGAGTATCCCCTAAACTCTTACTCTGTTCCTCTGTTTACTAGGCTTCCTCTCTTCTGGGTACTCAGCTCTTCCTATCCCTGGAGTTTTTTCTTGGAAACACTCTGGTGCTTTATCTTCCTTTTTTTTTTAAGATTTATTTATTTATGCATACAAGAGCTGGGGTGCAGGCCAGAGGTGAGGGGGTGCTGGTGAGAGGACTCACCAGAGACAGAGTGGGGAGCAGAACAGGCCAATTGACTGAAAATACACTGCTAAGTGGAGCAGTGGATGAGACAGGTAAGGTCTGCTTTGCCATGTGGGTTAGCTCCCTGGCTGGGGTTAGAACTAGTGCTGCAGTGGCCATGGATAGCTTTATAGTGCTGATGCTTAACCCCTTGCACCAGCTGGTAGGCCCCCAAGTTGCTTTATCTTCTTATTTTGTAACAGCTTCATTCACATACCTGTAGGGCAAGATGGGCACAGAGCAGGATTCCTATGATCCAAGCAGACAGGTAAAGGAGAGTCCTGGAGCCCTCAGGACTGCTGTGGCAAACAGGTACACAGCAGGCAGGGTTGCTGGGGGGCCATGGGGCCACCAGGCTTCCAGGCCCCCAGCAAGTCTTCACTCTGCCCTTCTCAGGCCTTGGTACTCCCACCTCTGCTTCTCCTGGTGACCATCTCAATACTCCTCCCATGGCCCACAGAAGTAAATAAGACAGCTTGCAACAATGTAACAACTGCAGGTACCCCATCAGACAGGGCAATCCTAATGGTTGGAGGGCAGAAAAGCCTGAAAAACCATTTACCCTACAATACCATAATGAGATAACCTAGGTTAAAGAAACTGTGGGCCTGTCAAATGATTTTTATCCAGTCCTTTTGTAAGTCCTGTTCAAACAATTCAGCCCCCTACACTAACCATGAGCAGTGCCATGATAGATAAAAAGCATTAGATCCTGATGAATGATTATCTCACAAAGAGCCCAGATGTGCTGTGCAGTTGGAATATAGCCCATCTGCACAGGGTCTGGTGAAGCCCATCCAGTATAAGCTGAGGCTGCTCTCCCCAACCTGCCACACACACCCCACCCTGCCATGGACTTACCCTTTAGCTATCTCCTCCTAACTTGATTCAGGGGGCCAGGTTATATTCTCCTTTCTCAGACTGGCTCCCATGGGCATCAGTTTCTGTAATAAAGCCTTGCCTGGTTCAAGTATACCAGCACTCTCTGGTAAGATCTTTGCCTAGAGAGCAAAGGACCCACTCTTTTGGGTCAAGGCCCTATAACAATAATATTCATTAATTTAAAAATGCACAATTCAGTGGTTTTGAGTATATTCATAGAATTGTACTGTAAAATATTAAAAAATTAGACATAGCAAGACAGCAGCCATTTTAAGGAAAACAAACATTTTAAAGGGCACAGCTATGCCTTAGTTTTGTTTCAGGGCAAAAACCACCAGACTGGGGTAAAAATCACAAGACAAGGGTAAACAAAACTTAACTAGTGCCAAGGAGAGATACCCAATCAGGCCGAACTTGGCCCCTGGTGTAAAAAGTCCCCGCATCCTGTCAACAAAGTACAAAAACAGTTGGTTGCTCTGGGAGGGGGTCCCTCTTTCAACTTGATGAGACTGCTGTGTCAGTACTCCAGGTAGAGTTGGGCCCTTACTTAAGCTAGCAATAAAGCCTTTTTGCTTTTGCATTCTGGCTCCGTGTGGTCTTTGGGAACCCTGGATAGAGTTGAGGCGCCAACTCCTAACATTTTGTGGGCTCATCCGGGATCCCCAATTACTACACAAAGTGTCCAGAAAAAGGCTTAGGCCTGAGGAGGACATCTGATTCCTGGTATATGGGCTTCCTGGGTCGGGCGGACGCGCCAAACGAACAGGGGCACAGGGTTTGGAAAGACATCTCAAACCCACGACGGCCGACGCCCAGAGAAATTCAAATTTTTCTGGGGCATACGAGGTCCAGTTCCAAGGAGAAATCCAAAAATCTGAGGTGTATAAGGCCGTCGGACTCCAACAGGTTTTCCGGAGCCGGTTCCAATGGTTTTTCCGGAACCAGTCCCAAGGCACAGGCCGGGGCATTGATGCCTGTTTCCGACGGTTATTCCAGAACCCATTCCGAGGCTCAGGCCAGGACAGGAAGGCAAATTTGAAAAATAATCACTGGCCTCTCTGGTAAGCCCAAGGGCCTGTTTCTGTTATCTGTGGTCTTCAGTTTGTGTCTTGTGGGGATTGTTGTCCCTGTCTTGCTTTTCTTTCTACAGGATGGGTCAGGGACAAACCACACCATTGTCCCTCATGGTGGACGATTTCTCGGAGGTCCGGACAAGGGCCCAAAACCTTAGTCTTGTTATTAAAAAAAGGTTACTAATCACTTTCTGTTCCAGTAAATGGCCGACGTTTACTGGCATTCAGTGGCCACGTGGAGGATTCTTGGACATTGCTGTCATCAGACAGGTCAAAAAAGCAAGTTATGGCTTTTCACCCTGATCAAATTCCTTATATACTTCTGTAGGAAGATATTATTACCTTTCCCCTCAGTGGTTGCGGCCCTTTGTTCCGCGACTTGCCCTAGCAGTCGGACAATGAAAAACCCTTGTTTGTCTGGCACAACAGAAAAAAGGGCCCAAAAAGCCTGTCCTCCAAAACTCTTCCTATCCCCAGAATATTAATGAGAGCCTTGAGTCTATGATGCCTACTGCTCCGCCTCCCCCTTATCCCGCCTTAGACCCAGAACCGATCCTGAGCCTCTAATTCCCGATCCCGAACCAACCCCGCCTGGCTCCCCTGTGAGTGCCCAGACAAGACATCGCCAGCCAGGAAGGGAACGAGCTGACCAGAGAGGGCGACTGGACCAAACCACATTGGCCCCATTAAGGGTAGTGGGCTCGGTAAGTGAGAATGGCCAGCAAAACCTCCAATATTGGCCATTTTCAACCTCCGATTTGTATAATTGGAAACATCAAAACACTCCCTTTTCTGACAATCCTAGGGGACTCATTAACCTCTTTGAGTCCATTCTTTTCACCCACCAGCCTAGTTGGAATAATTGCTTACAGCTGATGCGGGTCCTCTTCACAACGGAAGAGTGGGACAGAATTTTGGAGAAAGCCCGCCGTCAGGTCCCAGGGAGCGACGGGCGGCCCACCCAGGATCAGGCAATCATCAATCGCCACTTTCCCACGGAGCGGCCTCAGTGGGATCACAATACGCCTAAAGGTAGGGAAAACCTCCGAATCTATCGCAAGACTCTAATGGCTGGTCTCCGCGCTGCAGTGCGCAAACCCACCAATTTGGCCAAGGTAGGAGACATATGTCAGGGGGCAACTGAGACCCCAGCAGCCTTCCTGGAGCGCATAATGGAGGCATTTAGGCAGTTTACTCCCCTTGATCCTAAGTCAATTGAGAGTCGCGGGCCGTCACAATGGCCTTTGTAAATCAGGCACCCCCAGACTAAACGAAAACTTCAGTCACTAGAAAGATTGGGAAAACGCCCAATTCAGAAATTACTAAGGACAGCTAAAAAAGTTTTCAATTAAAAAAAAGTAAAAAAAAAAAATGAATAAACAAAAAAAAAATTAAGGGCAAAACAAAAAAGGCAGAAAAACAAAATCAGGGTTAAGGACAAAAAAATTCGTGCAGCCAAACAAAAAAAAAAATGACAAAAATTTTATTAGCAGAACCCTGCTCCCCTCCCCCGCCCACAGAGGCGGCACTCTCCGACCGGCAGAGAGGAGGAAACAACAAACCAAAACGGCCCACAAGAACAAACGACGCAGCAAGCGGGACTGTGAGTGGAAAGGAACTATGGCAGCCACCACACCCCGTGAACGGGAGCTGAGGCGAACCCTGCAGGATCCGCCGCGGCGGTGAGCGAACGGCTCCGGGCGCCATTAGAGAAGAACAAAGACCCCGGGAGACGCGCACACAGCCCGGGCTGCCGGTAAGCCTGCGCGGAAACGCGGCGCGCTCGGCGCGCTTGAAAAGCAAGTGCAGACCTGGATCGCGGCTGCCCAGGTCCCCGCGCCTGCGACCTAGGCTAGCGGGGAGACGCACGGAGGTCCTCACTGAGGTGAAGGTCCCTCCCTGAGTGAGCAGGAACCAGGCGCCCAGGCACGGGAGCGGTGCAAAAGGCGCCATTCCCGCGCCACTGAACTGGGCTACAGCCTGCGTCCTGGAACTGAGGGCTTTGAACTGAGACCCGGGGCACGAAAATTCGGGGCGTGGGTCCTCCACGACGGTGGGGCACAAGGCAGACACAGCACCCCAAAGCTGTTGAGGTGTACCCTACCATTCCCGCTCTGTTCTCTGTCCCACGGGGTGGGGGGAGGCGAAAAACAGCCCCCCAAGGACAATAGGAGAGATCTCTGGCGCCACCTAGCGACCAGGAAAAAAAAAAGTCACTAACACCCTATAAAACAGGACATTTCTTAAGACTGCTTGAAAAGGGCAGAAGGTTTCTGGAGGACCCAGTGGCCAGCCGGGAAGTTATTCCACGCCAGGCCCCTTCCGACCAGCAGTCTGAGCCCACAGAGGGAGCAGGCACCCACGTCCGGGGCAGACCGGGTGCGCAGAAGAGTGTGCCTGAAACCGGAGGCGCAGGGACTGCATCCCGCTTCGCCATTTGAGAACAGGGACATTTCTTCAGTAAAAACTGCCTAAAACCAGCAGAAAGCTCCCCCAGAAGACAGAGATGGCTCCTGGAAGAGCCAGAGGGGAGCGGAGAAGTTCACTCAAGATGTCAGTCAGTCCGAGCAACACAGTGTCCCAACGCATACGACAAATTAGAAAACAGACAGTAGGGAGTAGAAGAACCACACGCAACCTAAAAACTCCTCAGGAAAGAAGCACACCACAAAAAGAAAACCACTCCCCAGATTGCAACGACAGCAACTTGGAAGAACTTCTGAGCCTTCCAGAAAGAGAATTTAAAATTGCCATGATTAAAAAAGTGATAGATCAGAAGAAGGAAATTGAGTCCCTAAAGAGGGAAGTAAGAGAAATGCAGGAGATCAAAGAATTAATGGAGGAACTAAAGAACTCTGGGAAAAGCAATGAAAGCAGAATAGATGAAATGGAAGAACGAATAAGTAATCTTGAAGACACAGAAATAAAAAGAACCAAAACAGAAAAGGAAAGAGAAGTACGAAGGAAAAAGAATGAAGAAAGACTTCGGGAACTATCTGACTCCATGAGGAAAGGAAATATAAGAGTTATAGGAATTCCAGAAGGAGAGGAGAGAGATGTAGGAACAGAGAAAATATTCATGGATATAATTGAAGAGAACTTCCCAAATGAGAAGAAGGAGCTGAAAATTGATATACAAGAAGCAAGAAGAACACCAAACTTCCACGACGAAAGGAAAAGCACAGCAAGACACATAATAGTAAAGCTCCCAAGAATCCAGGACAAGGAAAAAATAATGAAGCTGACAAGAGGGAAGAAACAGATAACATTCAAAGGAAAACCAATCAGGCTGACATCAGACTTATCTGAAGAAACACTACAGGCAAGGAGAGAGTGGAGGGACATAGTCAACAGACTCCAAGAAAACAGATGCCAACCAAGAATACTCTATCCCGCAAAGCTCTCTTTCCTCCATGAAGAAAGAATATGGACCTTCCCAGACAAAGAGAAACTCCGGAATTTCATTACGAATAAACCCCCACTC